TCCTCTCTCCTGATTCAGACTCGACCCTCTTTTTGTCTCTATCTTGATTCGGACTCGACCCTCTTTTTGTCTCGGTCTTGATTCAGACTCGACCGTCTTCCGTCCTCTCTCCTGATTCAGACTCGACCCTCTTTTTGTCTCTATCTTGATTCAGACTCGACCGTCTTCTTGTCTTTATCTTGATTCAGACTCGACCGTCTTCTGTCCTCTCTCCTGATTCAGACTCGATCCTCTTTTTGTCTCGGTCTTGATTCAGACTCGACCCTCTTCTTGTCTCTATCTTGATTCAGACTCGACTGTCTTCTGTCCTCTCTCCTGATTCAGACTCGACCCTCTTTTTGTCTCTATCTTGATTCGGACTCGACCCTCTTTTTGTCTCGGTCTTGATTCAGACTCGACCGTCTTCCGTCCTCTCTCCTGATTCAGACTCGACCCTCTTTTTGTCTCTATCTTGATTCAGACTCGACCGTCTTCTTGTCTCTATCTTGATTCAGACTCGACCGTCTTCTGTCCTCTCTCCTGATTCAGACTCGACCCTCTTTTTGTCTCTATCTTGATTCGGACTCAACCCCCTTTTTGTCTCAGTCTTGATTCAGACTCAGCCCTCATCTTGTCTCCATCTTGATTCGGACTCGACCCTCTTTTTGTCTCGCTCTTGATTCAGACTCGACCGTCTTCTGTCCTCTCTCCTGATTCAGACTCAACCCTCTTCTTGTCTCTATCTTGATTCGGACTCGACCCTCTTTTTGTCTCGCTCTTGATTCAGACGCGACCGTCTTCTGTCCTCTCTCCTGATTCAGACTCGACCCCCTTTTTGTCTCGGTCTTGATTCGGACTCAACCCTCTTTTTGTCTCGGTCTTGATTCGGACTCGACCCTCATCTTGTCTCCATCTTGATTCGGACTCGACCCTCTTTTTGTCTCGGTCTTGATTCGGACTCGACCCTCTTCTTGTCTCGGTCTTGATTCGGACTCGACCCTCTTCTTGTCTCTATCTTGATTCGGACTCTTGCTCTTGATTCGGACTCGACCCTCTTTTTGTCTCGGTCTTGATTCGGACTCGACCCTCTTTTTGTCTCGGTCTTGATTCGGACTCGACCCTCTTCTTGTCTCTATCTTGATTCGGACTCTTGCTCTTGATTCGGACTCGACCCTCTTCTGTTCTGTCTTGATTCAACTCGACCCTCTTCTTGTCCGTCTTGATTCGACTCGACTCTCTTGATTCAGACTCAACCCTCTTTTTGTCTCGCTCTTGATTCAGACTCAATCATCTTCTGGTCTTAGTCTTGATTCAGTCTCGACCCCTTTCTGGTCTTGGTCTTGACTCGTACTCAATCCACTCAGGTCTCGACTACATCACTGTCCGCTGTAGCTCAGTTATTATGGAACATGTAAACACTTGATTTCAGATTCCAGATTCCAAATCATATTTAGCCACCCCAAAATAAAAATAAAAAATCAAATTGCTAACTTTCATTTACCCTTTTACATGTCAGACACCTCTTTCTGTCAAAAAGTGCATTTCCTGGGAAAATAGGCTTATGAAGTGGACCAGACTTTGCTGATAACAAAAGTCTGGCTGTGTCAGACTTGTACAGTCTGTTAACCAATAGTAGCCACATCAAACCTACCTGGTTTGGTTTGATATCTGTCCAAATCATTTAGTCATCAGTCTTCACATCTGTCCTCCTGTGTTTCCCAGCAGCTGTTATTTCCTGTTTTCCAGTTTTCACATGCCATACACCTGCCAAACACGGCTAGCGGAGCCTGACATGCAATAACTCAGGCAACTGCTGCACATCATTCACGCAGCAATCAGTCTAACCGGACGCTCGTCATTGATCATCTGTTGCGTACACTAGAAAGCAGCCCTCAGGTGTGCACATGCCACTGTTTGCTATCTATCAGTCATAAAATACCATGTTTATCCTAGCCGCGAGTTTAGCATATCATTGTTTTTGCGACCCATCTGAACAGCCAAGTTTTGGGTCACAACCTGCCATTCATTTAAACTGAGATAAATCACATTGAATTGAGACTATAATCTCCAGACGGACTCTGAGATCGTCTGAAATAATTATCCATTTGCTCTGACATGGGTTTCTGTTGTTCGTGGTTGCCCTGTGGCAGTTTCAGAGTAGACTTATGCTGTCTACGTCTCAGTCTTATCGCATAATCACAGCGCCCCAGCCAAGGACTGCAGGCCCACAGGCTAAACCTGATTTAGATAAATAAGACCTGTTAGATGGAGTAGCTTTGCACTACTGACAAATAAGCCTGTCTGTACGAATAAAACGGTTTGTGTATGTGTTTGGATGTAGTAGTTTATTTGTGTGCTTGCAGTTGTATTACATATACATACTTCTTACAAAACAGAAAAAAAAAATAATAATAATGTTCCAACTTTTGACTTGTAGTGACATATATGATGCAGGCTTGTACTTATAAATCTCAGTCATGACATGATTTAGGTCATTTTTGATTTTAATGCACTTATTAGAAAAAAAAAATCAAAAACAGCATGTGTGTGAGTGCTTATGCTTGTACATCTGCAGATTGCTGCATATTGAACTTTTGTGTTGGAGTCATTAGATGGCAGCCAATAATTTTGTCGTGGGCATTTTGTTGGGTCAACACAACTTCCTTTTTAATATTATATTGATGGGCTTTAATAAACAAGTGACCTAATTGTTGTTGGCGATAACGCTGAAACAAACATCTCTGGGTATTAGTCAAGCCCCATTGGACAGCAATAATCTGATGAAAAGTGATGTTGAACAGTTATTGTACAGTATATCATGCAGTTTGCCATCGAGGGCGTATGACAAGACTAGACATGATTGCTCGGAAGTCTTTATAGGACAGTAGCCATCTACAATCGTCTACGGCACTAATTGCGCAGCGGCTGATTAGCAATTGTAAGTGGTCGGTGGATGTGCTGTTGATAGGAGAACTGCTGATGGGGTGGTTTTCCTGTTAACCTGGCGGTGTGCTGTACATGGCATAATTAAATTGCCCCATGTCTCCTAACCCCACTGTAATATTAGCAGAGTTTATACAGTCATTCATCAAAAAATCCCTCATCAGAGATGCCGTACAGGCCTAGCGGAACCTGCTAAGTTAGCACACAGCTGTTTGTGGCGAGAAGGAAACACTGAGAACAGTCAACGAAACACCTGAAATTTCCTTTCTCAGCATATATAGCTGTACAAGCTTACTATTTGCAGCTTTGTTCTCTAGTTGTGATTATGTAGATGTTGTATAATCATATTTGACTTTGCGTTATCTTATTTGGGTATTACATGGTTTCAATATTTCCACATTAAATATTGATTTTAGTTTAAATCAATTTCAGTCTTTTTTTGTGATATACTATATATTATGTCTACAGAGTGCTCTATTTAAAAGGGTAAAAAAAAAACCTCAGTAATTTGTTGTGTTTGTGAAATAATTATCTTTATATAAGCTGTAGAATAAGCTGTATTTAGTATCTATGTATATTTGTATATTTTCTTTTTTTCTATTATATATAAATATTTTTTTAAGTAAAATAATAATAATTATAGTAGGGTTGTCAAACGATTAATCACGATTAATTGCATCCAAAATGAAAGTTTGTGTTTACATAATATATGTGGGTGCACTGTGTATAATTATAAATATTTAAGTTATAAATAAACATTTGTATATATAAATACACACATATGCATGTATATATTTAAGAAAAAAATATTATTTATATATTAAATATTTAATATAAATTATATATAAATCTATATACAGTATATACATGAAAATATTTTTTGAATATAGACAAGCATGTGTGTGTGTGTGTGTATATATATATATATATATATATATATATATATGAAGAGTTCAGATGCAAAAGCCTCTAAATGCCATTTGAAATTTTCTTCTAAAATAACCATTTTTATCAAGCTTGTGTGTTTAAGTTCAGCAATTTCATTTAAATGACAATTAATAGGTAATCTTCATTGCCATTTAAGTGAAATTACTGATCTTAAATATACAAGCTTGATAAAAATTAACATTCTTGAAGAAAATTTCAAATGGCATTTAGAGGCTTTTGCATCTGAACTCTTCATATATATATATATATATATATATAAACTTTTATTTTGGATGTGATTAATAGTTTGACAGCCCTAAATTATAGTTGTTGTTGTTGTTGTTGTTGTTAGGGAACTGTTATGTAATTTACCATTTCCATAATTTAAATAATTTTTGTAAATTCAGAAAATTTTAAGAAATTTAATTAGGTCGAATCTTGATATAAGCAAACATACTTAATCCTAATGATTATTCTTGTTTTTTCCCCCAAATAAAATGATCTTCAAGTTTTAATAAATCTAATGTATGAAATAACAAATTAAAACTAGATCAATTAGTGCTACAGGCTGGCTATACAACTGGATTTATATTTGAGATTACGAATCCACCTTATTTGTGTGTTGTTGTGAATGCGTGCGCACACTAAACCCTGAGAGTGTCCCTCTGAGCTCACCTGGAGAGAACTTCAGCTGACCTCTGACCAGCCAGTGATTTATGTGTCTTCCTTCATATCGATCGTCTTCGGCTATGATCAAAGGTACACCTAAAAGCCAGCACTGAGAGAGACCATTATTGTGGATTTGGCTTTGCTCATACATTATTTATCTCCTTGAGCCTGTTCTATATGCCATTATGGACATTATGAAAGAAGGGAGCCACTGCCTCACCGTTTACTTAGTGTAAGCACAGGATGCCGGGACGAAAGATCGGATACAGGGTCATAAAAATGCCATAAAGAGGATATTGAGATGCTCTCCTGCCACACAATGTGCAACATTCCCCATTGGAAATGCGCCTCTGATTTAGCCAAAGAGAGATGGAGTTGTTTTTCATGGGCTGGAAGTGTTCAGCGAGTTAGAGCGGGATGTGTGCGGGCTGTGGCTTTCAGTTGGTTAGCAGTGTGATAGTGATGGATGTAATATCTGCTGGTTTCTCTCTTTTATTTCTAGAGCAAAGCTCGTGTCGAAGTCATGACGCTGGATTTGGCTTCCTTGAGGAGCGTCCAAGAGTTTGCCGAGAACTTCAAAGCCAGGAAACTGTAAGTATTATGTTGGATACAGCAGAATTGTAATGCTTCTGGAATGAGACACTAGGCTAGGTCATCACGAAAAGCTTTCCACCGGCTCGAACCCCCCCACCGGCTCCATTAACGAACTATCACATCAGAGTAGGGCCAAAGGTCTCCCCTCTTTCATCCCGGGCCCCGTCGCTCTCGCTGGTCAATACACACGTATCCGCACCTCCGCTGGAGCTCCATCAATCTCATTGGGAAGTCCCTCACAGGCTCCTGGTCAAATCAATGGCTTTCGGGAAGTTCAGCGGCACTGCTGAGAACTGTACAAGACTAATAATACCATTTATCTGTTTGATGTTGGTATTAATTATTATTTTGTTTGTAAATAATAGACATCATTATTTATTTTTTATACTGTTATGGCAAGCCGTTTTAACATTTAATTATTTTAACCTACTAGTCTCTATTTTCATGTTACTAGTACTTATTTTTTAGATACTAGTGTCTATTCCATTAAGTACTAGTGCTTTTTCAGCTGCTATTAGTGCTTATTCTTTAGATACTAGTGCTTATTCAAAATGCTACTAAGATTTTTAATTGAACTACACAGTGGCCATTCTGATAAAGTCTTAACATAAGACAGTTAAGTAAAATAAGTAAAAAAGCAGTTGTGACTAGTCAAATAAAAATTCTTACTAGTAACATTTGGAATAAATACTAGTATCTAATAAATAGGTACTAGTATCTATTAAATAAGTACTAGTATCTAATGAATAAGTACTACTATCTAATAAATAAGTACTAGTATCTATTGAATAAGCACTAGTAACTAATAAATAAGCACTAGTAACTAATAAATAAGCACTAGTAACTAATACATAAGTACTAGTATCTAATGAATAAGGACTAGTATATATTGAATAAGCACTAGAAAACTAATAAATAAGCACTAGTAACTAATAAATAAGCACTAGTAACTAATACATAAGTACTAGTATCTAATGAATAAGGACTAGTAACTAATGAATACGCACTAGTATCTAATAAATACGGACTAGTAACTAATGAATAAGCACTAGTAACTAATAAATAAGTACTAGTAATGAATAAGGACTAGTATCTATTGAATAAGCACTAGTATCTAATAAATAAGGACTAGTAACTAATAAATAAGCACTAGTAACTAATAAATAAGTACTAGTATCTAATGAATAAGGACTAGTATCTATTGAATAAGCACTAGTAACTAATAAATAAGGACTAGTATCTAATGAATAAGCACTAGTAACTAATAAATAAGTACTAGTATCTAATGAATAAGTACTAGTATCTAATGAATAAGGACTAGTATCTAATAAATAAGGACTAGTATCTAATAAATAAGCACTAGTATCTAATAAATAAGTACTAGTATCTAATGAATAAGGACTAGTATCTAATAAATAAGGACTAGTATCTAATAAATAAGCACTAGTATCTAATAAATAAGTACTAGTATCTAATGAATAAGGACTAGTATCTAATAAATAAGGACTAGTATCTAATAAATAAGCACTAGTATCTAATAAATAAGTACTAGTATCTAATGAATAAGGACTAGTATCTAATAAATAAGGACTAGTATCTAATAAATAAGCACTAGTATCTAATAAATAAGTACTAGTATCTAATGAATAAGCACTAGTATCTAATAAATAAGGACTAGTATCTAATAAATAAGCACTAGTATCTAATAAATAAGTACTAGTATCTAATGAATAAGCACTAGTATCTAATGAATAAGGACTAGTATCTAATAAATAAGCACTAGTATCTAATAAATAAGCACTAGTATCTAATAAATAAGTACTAGTAACTAATAAATTAGTACTAGTATCTAATGAATAAGGACTAGTATCTAATAAATAAGGACTAGTAATGAATAAGGACTAGTATCTAATGAATAAGCACTAGTAACTAATAAATAAGTACTAGTATCTAATGAATAAGTACTAGTATCTAATGAATAAGGACTAGTATCTAATAAATAAGGACTAGTATCTAATAAATAAGGACTAGTATCTAATAAATAAGCACTAGTATCTAATAAATAAGTACTAGTATCTAATGAATAAGGACTAGTATCTAATAAATAAGGACTAGTAATGAATAAGGACTAGTATCTAATGAATAAGCACTAGTAACTAATAAATAAGTACTAGTAATGAATAAGGACTAGTATCTAATAAATAAGTACTAGTATCTAATGAATAAGGACTAGTAACTAATGAATAAGCACTAGTAACTAATAAATAAGTACTAGTAATGAATAAGGACTAGTATCTATTGAATAAGCACTAGTAACTAATAAATAAGGACTAGTATCTAATGAATAAGTACTAGTATCTAATAAATAAGCACTAGTAACTAATAAATAAGGACTAGTATCTAATGAATAAGTACTAGTAGCTAATGAATAAGTACTAGTATCTATTGAATAAGCACTAGTATCTAATAAATAAGGACTAGTAATGAATAAGGACTAGTATCTAATGAATAAGCACTAGTATCTAATGAATAAGGACTAGTATCTATTGAATAAGCACTAGTATCTAATAAATAAGGACTAGTAATGAATAAGGACTAGTATCTAATGAATAAGTACTAGTAGCTAATGAATAAGTACTAGTATCTATTGAATAAGCACTAGTATCTAATGAATAAGGACTAGTATCTATTGAATAAGCACTAGTATCTAATAAATAAGGACTAGTAATGAATAAGGACTAGTATCTAATGAATAAGCACTAGTAACTAATAAATAAGTACTAGTAATGAATAAGGACTAGTATCTAATAAATAAGTACTAGTATCGAATGAATAAGGACTAGTATCTATTGAATAAGCACTAGTAACTAATAAATAAGTACTAGTAATGAATAAGGACTAGTATCTATTGAATAAGCACTAGTAACTAATAAATAAGGACTAGTATCTAATGAATAAGTACTAGTAGCTAATGAATAAGTACTAGTATCTATTGAATAAGCACTAGTATCTAATGAATAAGGACTAGTATCTAATAAATAAGCACTAGTAACTAATAAATAAGGACTAGTATCTATTGAATAAGCACTAGTAACTAATAAATAAGCACTAGTAACTAATAAATAAGGACTAGTATCTAATAAATAAGGACTAGTATCTAATAAATAAGCACTAGTAACTAATAAATAAGCACTAGTATCTAAAGAAAAGGCACTAGTATCTATTGAATAAGCACTAGTAACTGATAAATAAGGACTAGTATCTAATAAATAAGCACTAGTAACTAATAAATAAGCACTAGTAACTAATAAATAAGGACTAGTATCTAAAGAAAAGGCACTAGTATCTAAAGAATAAGCACTAATAGCAGCTGAATAAGTACTAGAACTTAATGGAATGGATACTAGTATCTAAAAAATAAGTACTAGTAGCATGAAAATAGAGACTAGTAGGTTAAAATGATTAAATGTTAAAACGGCTTGCCATAATACTGTATGTACTCCCATTATATTTTAGTGTATAATTATTTGCATATCTACATACATAAAACACGTGTATTAATTCATTTATAGATTTGTTGCTGATGAATAAATAGATGGATGGATTTTCTCTTTCTCTAGATTATCCTGGACTAATTAAAAATCCCTTGAACAGTATTGCTTATAGTGTTATCAGTTATTATTATTATTATATTACAAAACGTTATTTAATGATGTCAGACAAAACATTTATTAGGTTGAGTGTGTCTCGCATGCTTTATGATTATTATCATATCAATACAGCGTTTTGTAATCTGTAAACACTCATTAGTTTGTGATGGTGAGCTGCAGTGATCAGTAATTAGGCTAATGAGGCATAATTATGATTTAATACAGACGTGTCTAGAATATTGTCTTTGCTCTGTGAGAACTGTCTAGATGTACTTCCTTATACTGTAGTTTTCAGGAAAAGAAGTTTTGATTATATTAATATTAACTTTAGCTGTTTTATAATTAATAAAGTGTTATTGTTTTCATGCTGCTTAAATCAGGGAGATGGTCGTCTGAATGACTTTGCTTGTTGTCATGTGGTGTTCCTTCGGTCGAGCGTCGACCTTCACCGCTCGCTCAGTCCACAGTGAGTGTGTGTGAGTGTAGAGGTGACGTGTGTGTGGGGGTGTCCCGGGCCCTCGGGGGCCTGCCGGACTCATCTGGCCCCCGGCCGGCCCCGGGGCACGACAGCAGCAGAGCTTGGTCAGCAGCCAGAGTCCTGGAGGTCACCCTGGAGGTGGAGATAGACCAACATGCAACAGCCAATCAGTTTTGAGTTTGGTGTTATTGGCGCATATCTTAGAGATCACAGACAGACATAAAACGGTCTTTACTCCGTAACTAAGTGGAAGTTTAGTGATACTTGGCTTGGTTAACTGCTCCTAATGCAAGAAAGCTGTTAAATTGGGAACATTGGGTGTATGGGAACTGTAGTCACTTACAAAAAGTGATAAATATCGAACGACAGCAAGTATCCGGCGGCTCCAGCACTGACGTTACTTCTACAGTGCCTAGGCGAGGCCCAGCTAGCTCCTCAACTCCCGCAATCGACCTCCGTGTTGCTATAGGATCAGAGCCAACAATAACACCGTGTCCTAACTACACGCGACGCCATAAAATTCCAGCGACAGCAAGTGTGTCCATACTAGACGCGACGCGACTGCGAGACGCCACACGTCAATCAAAAATCACAGCCATTCAGAACAGTGTGTGGGCGGAGTCTCTCTGTGAAAGCGCACTGCTGGCCCGCACTCGCGTTGGACGTAATCAAATCAAGAAATAACATTATTAAAAATCAAAACATTAACAAAATATACTCATTAGCCATGTTTCCATCGACACGTTTTTATCCAAATTAAGTGATATATCGAATGAAAAATGCCTTATGGAAAATTCGATGAAATTTCATGAAAATCGACTTAAATGAAATACGTTCGGTCTCATCGGATTTTCTCTTGATCGATATAC